TTTAAAATATGAGACACCAATGTTTCAGGAGTTTAGGACCTATTTGGGTTTATGTATATGATTTATTTTTTCAGGCATTGTTAGATGCTAGTGTATCTTGTCATAGCTATTCAAAGATTTGATTTCAAAAACAGTATCATAACTATTAAACTATGATTTTAAATATGTTTTTAACCTCAGAATGATCTCAAAATCAGTCTGATTTTGTGGTGGCTGTGCTTTAAAATTAAATCATTATAATCTTAATTTAAGTGATGAAGGATTTTGAATGTCTTGACAGTAATGAGGGTTGTACTAAGGTTAACCCTGCCTGGTCTAAATGTTGGAAAACTTTCATTAGAAATTTAGAAAAGTAATCAAATGTAATCAGTTGCATTACTTTAATCGAGTAATTGAAATAGATACACTACTTATTACATTTTAAATAGGGTAACTTGTAATCTGTAATCTATTACATTTCCAAAGTAACCTTCCCAACACTGGACCTGACACCTTGCAACTCTGTTTTCAGCATTTAAACATCAAAATCATGATACCCTTCAATAATATAATAGGCTACAATTAGGTTTATGCACTCCCCATGCATGAAGAAAATAAGGTTGCATCCCAGGAGCTCTACAAGAATGTTATAGAGTGATTAATGCAGCCAAGGAAAACATGAAGAAAAGAAAGTGGAAAATAACACAGGTAAGACAAATAAATTAATTCTTTCCATCTACATATTAAACTGTTGGTAAGCCGAAAAGAAAAGTAATTTAGGAAAATTATTATTTTAGTTATTGCATTTAAGACTGCTATACCATGTGCAGCTAAAAATAAAAGTAATGTAGCCTATGTCCCAATGTGGCTATAAGGAAGCGTCGATCAAATGAGCACATGATCGAATGACATCACGTTAGGGCACGCAGCATGTATCCATGGCAACGCTCAGCTGCGTAGTGACAGTTAACGGTCCTCGGTGATTCCGACACGGCCTTGAGTTTTCGCTTTCGTTGGTCGAAAAGGTTTCATATTTATTTTAGAACTACAGTAACATCCCAGCAAACATTGGTCCGACGGCAACGTCGTGTCCCTGGCCAAAAATAGTCGCGGTAGGACGGCATAAATCGGTAAAAATATGTAACACAGAACATTTCCTAAAAATGCATTCAGATGCGTTTGTGCAACTCTACAGTTATCTGGGGTTGCATATATAATTGTTACCTTTACTTTGTTAGCTAAGTGTAGTACAATATGTATACCCTGTTGTGAATCAGTTGTGAGAGGACGTCGTCCACTAACGTCCTTTACACGTGCATTTATAGTCCACCACTACCCTCTATGAAATTCCTATGAAATATGCAAAAGCAATTGTGCTTACACCTTTGTTAATACTCCAATAATTAAATTAAGTGCCCTAAGTAGTTTTTAAGAGGTTGTGGGTAGCCTAACGTCCACTGACGTCCTTTACACGTCTATAGTCGACCAAGACCAATTGTAAAAAAATCAATAAATCTTTATGAAATACACAATCATTTATATTTACATCACGATCATTTGTATTTATTTTAATGACTAATTGTATTCACAAAGTGCCCTGTGTGGTTAAGTGATTGTGAAAACACTGGATTTTAGTCATTATTCGACCCGTTTTCCCTATACATTACAATACGATTTTATTTTATTTTTTAATGAAATTTATGCATATACATATGAAACAGATATATATCCGGTCACCATTTCAAGTCTGAGTTTTATGTGAATTTCCAAAACTCTGCTGCCAAGATGTATATATTTTTTGCAAAATCCCGCGATAGGATAGATTATCTCGCGAGAGAGCGTTAACGCATTTTCCCGAAATGAAGTGTTTAATCAAGCAACATGTGAAGAATAGATGGCAGAAATATTGGGAAGAAGAAAGAACAGGGAGATGGTTTTATAGCATTCAAAGAATTGTTGGTAAGTACAGAGTAACAGGAAGAAATAGACATGAGGAAACTGTTGTCCTCAAGGAAAATAAAGAAAAACTTAATTTGATGAACATTTTGGGGAATAAATCAGGGGATAAAAACTTTCAATTTTGTATGCGTTATTTAAAGGACACGGGATTATATAATAGAATTTAGTGAATTTCCATGGCAACTCCCGCCGCTCTAGTGTTTGATTGCTACACCAAAGTTCAGAGCGCGCTAACTAATTAATTAAAACACGCAGGATTTACATAAATAAACATATAAAGATTTCGTAAATAACTTAAATCTAATTAAATTATTATTAAATCATCCCCTTAAGTTTTTTTTTTTTTTTTGTAGTTCTATGACCCATTCATATGTGAAAAATGCCACCCCTGCACGTGGTAGTCACACCAGCACTTTTATAGTCATAATAAGTATAAAAGTATAACAAGTTTAAGTTTTACAGTTTAAGATTTGGTGTTTTTTTTTTTTACAAACACTCAACCCCCTATACCTATATCAGACGTTATGATTTCGATCAGACGCGTCGGCTGTGTCGGTTGATGAGTCAACGTGATTTCGACGTTGAATCGATGTTTTGTTGTCGGCGAAATAACGTTCTGATGTTCCGACCAAATAGTGACCGTTGATTCAACATCGAAATTTGATTGACGACCGATATTGACCTTTACAACCAAAACTCGACGTTGAATCAACGTCTGCTTGCTATCTGGGACGTCCACTGACGTCCTTTACACGTCTATAGTCGACCAAGACCAATTGTAAAAAAATCTATAAATCTTTATGAAATACACAATCATTTATATTTACATCACGATCAAGTGTTTAATCAAGCAACATGTGAAGAATAGGTGGCAGAAATATTGGGAAGAAGAAAGAACAGGGAGATGGTTTTATAGCATTCAAAGAATTGTTGGTAAGTACAGAGTAACAGGAAGAAATAGACATGAGGAAACTGTTGTCCTCAAGGAAAATAAAGAAAAACTTAATTTGATGAACATTTTGGGGAATAAATCAGGGGATAAAAACTGATCTGATCTGATCATCATCCAGTCTGTCTGCAATGACGTGAAGAAACAGAACAAACTGAGACAGACAACGTCTCCAAGATGTTTCAAGAAACCTACCTGCAAAGCTACAGTACTGTTAAAAGTATTAGGCACTTGTGTAAAAATGCTGTCAAATGAGAATGCTGTCAAATTTTCTTTATCAGTTAACTTCTATTACCTAAATTAAATCAACATTTGGTGTGAGCATCCTTTGTGTTTAAAGCAGGTTTTGCCCTCGGTGCACTTGAGCAGAGTTTCTCAGGAGCTTTGCAGGTAGGTTTCTTGGATATGCTATTTACCCATCATACATATAAAGTTTAAGACATCATCTAACTCCTTATTGTCAGACATATCAGAACGGAAAAGAACCTTACTGATGGAAATACTACAGAGCTGGTGGATTTATTTATATTAAGCCACGCTGCAGGTGCATGTTATTGTTGATTTTATTATTATTATTATTATTTTTTTAAATATTCATATTCTCTTTCCTCAGATGCTGTGAAGAGGTGAAGCCCAAATGATACAGACTCAGACATGGATGCAGCAGTGCCAGAACACCTGAAGCATGCTCCAGGAAGTGCTGGGGCTTGTGGATATAAAAAATTAGCCATAAACAACTTTCACAAACTCTAAAAACATTTACACATGTGTTAACCATTATACAGTATTTTTGTTGTTTACTTGTTTGATTTATGGCTGTTTAACAATAATGCAAGACTGTTGGGGGGAAAAAAATAGTACTGCCACAGCTCTGACTTCCATGCATCAATGGTGGAACACATGAACCTCACTCCTGGAAGAGCTGGTGTTTGTGGACCAAGAAAATGAGTAAACATTTTGATTTTTTTTTCTTTTGTTGAAAGACTCTAAAAATAGTTACATATGTATTCACTGTGCTCCCGTACTTCTGTTATTTTCTTGTTTGATTAATGGCTGCTTAGCATTAATGTAAAAATGTTAGAGAAAATGCCATTGCCATAGACTCAGACTTAACCACATTCTACTATTTTTATTTTCTTGTTTGAGTAGTAGCTGTTTAACAAATGGAATAAAAAAAATTTTTAAATGTAGTATTCACAATAAAATATGTGGTAAATTAGAACACTCTTCTTTTTACTTTAGTCCACAAATGTGTTATTGTTTGTGATACACGTGATTAAAACGTTTTATAGACGTTCAGGTCTGACTGGACCGATTTTGGACCTTTTTAGAACATTGGTCAAATTCAGATGTGCCTTTCACGATGTTGCACAATGGGTGTGTGATTATTTTATATGCAGGCTTATACTTAAATTATGCAGCAACACATCTTATAAACATCCATAAGATGACACATCTAGACGTCCAGGGACATGCAGAAAAGACGTGTAATTCACGGACAGAAGACGTCAAAGACGTCGGTTCAATTTTCATTTTGGATATATTTTTCAACCATGACGGGACGTGTCGGAGGGACGTCTTTTCAACGGTCATTAAACGTCCAAATGTTTGCTGGGAACCAACTGTGTTTATATGTAAACCTTGTGTGTTTTTGACAGTATTAGACGCGAAATCAATCAGACGCGAAAGACAACTTAGTCTAGTAATCAGGTGCTTTTTGACAGGCTCAGTGTGAGCGCGCTTCATTAGTACGCGCTCAGAAAAATCGCATGCGGAACAGCACGTGAATTAAATGTTTAACCGGTATTGCTTTAAAGCAGATGGAAATAATGTAGTTTTGTGATTGCGCATA